TTTTTGGTCTTTTTGAGATAGGGTCTCCCTGTAGCCCCAGCTGTCCTGGAACTCACTATGTAGACCAGGCTGGCCTTGAACTCACAGAGATCTGCCTGCCTCTGCCTCCCAAGTGCTGGGACTACAGGCATGCGCCACCACACCCAGCCGACTGTCAGATTTAAAAATTTTAGAAAACAGTCCTTTTGTGGCTAGAGAGATGGCTCAGTGGTTAAGAGAGCTGACTGTTCTTGCAGAGGATGCAGGTTTGAATCCCAGCATCCACATGGGGGCTAACAACTGTCCTTAACTCCAGTTCCAGGGGATCCGACACCCTCTTCTGTCCTGCATGGGCATTGCACAACACGGGTTCACTTACACATGCAGGTAATACACACATACACATAAAAAATAAAATACAAATTTTTAAAATTACTTTCAATGATCAATCATTTGAACATAGATGAAACCTTAAATATGGCTTTTGCTAAGACCCCCAAGAGTAGTGCCTTTTTCTGGAGAATGCAGATTTGTTAAATGTACTGCAATGTGTGTGCTTTTCCCTCCACGCAGGGACTGGGCCTCTATGCTGCTAGAGACATTGAGAAGCACACCATGGTCATTGAATATATTGGAACTATTATTCGAAATGAAGTAGCAAACAGGAAAGAGAAACTTTATGAGTCCCAGGTACTGTATAAACTGACCAGCCATCCCTCACTGTCTCTTTCATTCATCTGACGAGCAAGGCCAAAGCTGTCATGCTGTTCATTTCTGAGCAGAGGCCGCAGCTGGATGTCCTCAAGTTGCTCTTGTCACGTTCCTTCCCTGTGGTCATTTTCCAGTTGCTGTTACTTTCCCAGATACAACTGTAGATGAATGCTCCCAGCCTCACAAACCCCAGCTATGACTGTGGGTCAGTGTTCCCAGTCTCACAAACACCTGATCTGATGGTGCTTTCCTTGTCCCGTGTATATACATCAACTGTGCTTGGTAGTGTGTGCAGGAGTGTGACCAGGGTGTTTCAGAGCAGTTTTAGAGCAGTTCCACTGAGTGTGAGGTAAGGACGTCAGACCATACTGATGACTTCCTGTCTTTTCTTTAGAACCGTGGCGTGTACATGTTCCGCATGGACAATGACCATGTAATTGATGCAACGCTCACAGGAGGGCCTGCAAGGTGAGGCAGAGGACCCTGACCCACAAGCTCTGAGCCTGGGGAGAAATGTTCCCATGTGTCTGGGCAGTGACTAAGATCTCTGTACTTGATTTGTTAACGTAACAGAAATATAATTAGCAAAGTTTTTAGTATGAATTGGAGAGTTTTCCAAATTCCTCTCACTGTTTGACAACCAGTTCTCTGGCCTGGCTTGTAGGTACATCAACCATTCGTGTGCCCCGAACTGTGTGGCAGAAGTAGTGACTTTTGAGAGAGGACACAAGATTATCATCAGCTCCAACAGGAGAATCCAGAAAGGAGAAGAGGTAAGGGGGAGGGACAAAGGGGTGGGTGGGGTGTCTGCGCTGTCTGTATCTGGAGATCTGGCAGGGCAGTTCACTGCCATAGGTGACCTGCCTGAGGGTTACATTACTTTAGTATTGCTAGAAAGCTTAACCTCACAGTCGGTCGCCTCCTGCCGCCTGTCGGTCTCACCCCTCAGACATCAAATGGCACCTTCTTCCATGAGGCAGCTCTGAAGGTGTTTGAAGCCAGCTCAGCACCTCCATGTCAGCGTTTAGCACCGTGTATACTTTGGGAGCCTCCTTTGTCCCGTCTGGACAGTCCAGCATGCCTCGCTCGGGCTCAGTCATCCCTGCCATTGATTGGACATCTGAGATGTGGACTTGCCGCCTCCGGCAGTCTCAGGCCATGATGAGTCCTGTGATGTGTAATGGGAAGGGCTGTAGGCACAAGTTTGGGAGCTGTGTGCTCCAGATCTGCATGTCCACATTTACCAGTTCTCCACATATGTGATGGAGGTGTTTTGTGTTTTATATCTTCAGTGTGTGGAACTTGAGACTTGTTTCTCAGTCTCACAGCTGTTAGCCTTGACTGCCTCATTTACACCACGCAGCTCTGGCTTTCTTGGTGTTCCCAGAGAACGCCTATGAAGCTCCATGGGTTTCTGTTGAGGAACCCTGCTGGTGTAGGGACTAGGGGGCCCCAGACCTTCACAGGCACAGCTGTGGAATCATACCTTTCAATTTGATCTTTCTGGAATCTGCTTTTTAAATTAAGAATAAACCTGTAGGAGCTGGAGAGATGGTTCAATGGTTAAGAGCACTGGCTGTTCTTACAAAGAACCCAGGTTCAGATTCCAGGGCAGCTAATGACCCTCCATAACTCCAGGTCCAAGGGGTCTGACACCCTCTTCTGGCCTCTGTAGGCACTGCACGACAAACATGCAGACATAACACTCATACACATCAAATAAAAATAATTTTTTTTTAAATTATAAAAAGAGACCTATAACTAGGCCTATGGCTCACTGTACACCTCAAAGTCTGAATCAATGAGACATCCCTTGAGAATGCTCCTGGAGCCAGTAACCAGGAGTTCACGCTGCTAGCATAGAAGACCCCCACCAACCCTACCCCAGCATGCCTGGGCCCGGCTGCTCTCCTGTCTGTGTCACCTTACGTTAAGTCCTTTAGCTTTTCCAAGCCCTTATTTTCTCTAAAATGGAGGAGTAATTTCCTTAAATAGTTTTAAGAAACTCAGCAAATACCCAATGAAAGGAGCTGCAGTCACTGCTGAGCGGTTACTACTCCACGTGCAGTTGACTTGCTCTCTGCGTGGAAAGCCTTCCAGATAGTGTACCAAAATATATCTGAGTTAGGAAAGACTCTAGAAATTACTGTGCTTCCCTTGACTTTGTGAGTTTTGGGGGCCAGGGGTGCACAGCAGGAGTGTGTTCTGTGGGAGCAATGCTGGTTCTTAGCCAGCTGGGTGGTCCGAGATGTTGTAGTAAGAATTCTATACCCTTTGAGCGTTCATGCAAAACATAGCTTTCTCCAAGGGAGATGCTAGTTCATTCTGAGCCATATATGAGTGACTACGGCCTGGAAAGCAGCATAGATCCCGGGTACCTGAGTTACAGGAATGTCGCACTGAAGAGAAGAGCACATGAGCTCTTGTAGTCAGAGAAAAGGACGTCATAAGTCAGTGCATTTATTGATGGGACATCAGGTAGGCAGTCACAGCAGGGTGGGGATGCCTTTAGTTTTAGATGGTGAGGGTTAGTGGTCTGCTAAGAACACGTTCTAAAAGGTTCAGTAGTCACAGAGCCGTTAGGTCAGATCAGAGTTTGGTAGTAAAGGCAATGAAGGAGTCAAACAGCTGAAGATCATTTTGACTGTAGACCTGCAGCATTCCATCTCTGGAGGATGGCAAACTCTAATCAGCCAGCCTGTGTGTGTGTAAGGTGCTTCTTAGTGAGGAGACAAGGAGAGCAGTGTCAGTTCTAAGAGCAAGTTCATCTGTGTCCAGACCAAGGGAGGCGCTTGGTCCTCACCTGGCCCAAAGTGCTGCGCCATGGTCCCCTTGGTCCCCTGCCAGGCCACTCTTTCTCAGATCCATTTCTCATTAAAACCTGGCACTTTGGCTTCTTGACTTCTTTTTGAGTGCCCCCCCGCCACACACACCAGGTTCGGTGGAACCTCGGCAAGTCAGGCCGCCCTTTGTCTGTCTGGCTGGTTTTGAACTACGAGAGAGGCAGAAGCAGGAGGGCTGTTCCTCCTCCACCAGCCCTTCTCACACTGTGTCTTTGCTGTGGGCAGCTCTGCTATGACTATAAGTTTGACTTTGAAGATGACCAGCACAAGATTCCGTGCCACTGTGGAGCGGTGAACTGCCGGAAGTGGATGAACTGAATGCATTCCTTGCTCTCAGCAGGCGGCTCGTCCCTAGGAAGAGGCGATCCAACACACCATTGGGATTTTGCAAACAGAAAATTTTGTTTTCTGTTCCTTTTGAAAAAGAGCTTCTGGGAGCTCTGGTTCCTCCCCTCTGAGTTACGGAAGCACACGAGGAAGTCAGTGCGGTGCTTCCCTGTGCTGAGGGGTCGGCAGAGTCGCAGAATGGTCCAGCACTTTTTTTTCTTTTCTTTCTTTCCTCCTTTGTTTCCTGTGGGTGGGTTTTGGTTTTGTTTTTTGTTTTGTTAGTTAGTGTCACTAAGGAGAAACTTTTACTGGGGCTAAGAGCCGGCGGCTGCCCTGCCCCAGGGTGGGGGCCTTCCTATGAATGTAAGACTGAAATCACCAGCGAAGGGGCTGTCCAGAGTGCTGGCCACGCCTTACTGACAGGGGCAGGCCCTCTAGTTTAACTCAAGTGGACACCACTGATCAAGGAATGTACCAAGATGACGTCCTTAGGGATAGAGCTAAGGGGTAATAACTTGCACTAAAATACATTTAAATACTTGATTCCATGAGTCAGTTTATTGTAGTTTTTGATTTCTGTAAAATAAGAGAAACTTTTTGTATTTATTATTGAATAAGTGAATGAAGCTATTTTTAAATAAAAGTTAGAAGAAAGCCAAGCTGCTGCTGTTACCTGCAGAACTAACAAACCCTGTTACTTTGTACAAATATGTAAATATTTTGAGAAAAACAGTATAAAAATAGTTATTGACCAAATGCTACCAGGCGCCGCAGCAGCTCGGGTGCTTATAAAATGTCATAGGGATGTTACAATATAATTTTGTGTTATTAACTATGCCATTATAATTGTGTAATAACCAAAATTTCACTCTGGAGTGTTTGGGGTTTTTGGAAACTCTATTAGTACCGTTTTCTACACCTAACTTCTGACAGACACAGTGTATGCTACGGCTACAACTTTTATAGCTGTTTTGGTAACAAACTAATTTTTTTCATATTATATTGTTGCATCCCTACTTCTTCAGTCAGGTTTTTTTGTGCTTTCAATTTGTGATAACTGTGAATAACGGCTTAAAAACACACCCAAATGGAGGCTGAATTTTTTCTTCAGCAAAAGTAGTTTTGATTAGAACTTTGTTTCAGACCACACAAGATCATGTAAACATAATAGAATCATGTAGCAGGAATCTAGCCTAACTCCTTAGCCCTCTATTTAACATAAAAATTTCAAAAAGGAAAAAAAAAGAGAGAGAGAGAGAGAGAGAGAGAGAGAGAGAGAGAATGTGATTCTGCTCCCAGCTGCAGGACTCCGGCAATAGGGTTTTCGAAGATGTAATTTTAAAATGTGTTTGTATGAACTGTTTGTTTACATTTCTTTAATAAAAAACACACTGTTTTGTGTCTGCTTGTAGAAACTTAATCAGCATTTGAACCAGGTTAGCTTTTTATTTTGTACTTAAAATTCTGGTACTGACACTTCACAGGCTGAATATAAAATGAAGTTTTTGTGTGCACAATTCAAGTGGACTGGTGACACAGTTCTCAACTTGTAATGTATATGGCATGATGTATTTTTATCTTACAGAATAAATCATTGTATATATTTTTCTCTTGATAAATAGCTGTATGAAATTTGTTTCCTGAATATTTTTCTTCTCTTGTACAATATCTGACATCCCACCAGTATTTGTCCTACCGGGTTTTCGCTGTTTTCTGTTCTGTATAATAGTATCTAATGTTGGCAAAAATTGAATTTTTTGAAGTATACAGAGTGTTATGGGTTTTGGAATTTGTGGACACAGATTTAGAAGATCACCATTTACAAATAAAATATTTTACATCTACAGAATCTGCTTGTGCTCTGTGCTAGCTGTTGTCTTGTTTGGCTTTTAGCTCTGCCTGACATCAGATTGATGGCTCTGTTAGAATTAGTTACTGGCATCTGGAGACGTCCACCTGCTTCTCTTCCTTTTTAAGGAATTTAGATGTAAGTTCAGACTCAGCCTCTTCAGCTGCAGGCCCCTCCTTCAGTCAGATCAGGGAACTTGTGTCAGGAAACCTCACCGTGGAAATGATTCTTTGTGCCTTGTTTGCTTGTCCAAAGCTTGCTTTTGTTAAATCGGTAAAGTTGGTCTTATGTTTGGTTGCTTGAGATGAACTCTTGTGTTGCCCAGGCTGGTCGCCTCGTTCCAGGCGGTGGGACTGGAGGTGTGCACCCTATACCTGCTCAGTTTTGGTTTTGGTTTCTTCTTCCCTTCAGATTACCTTTCAGACTTACGCTATGTGACAGAAACTCTATCAGATTGAACATACTTAACATTTCACTTAATGCAGCTGCCAGGATTAGGCAGGTTGACAGCACACACTGTTAATCTCAGCACTCAGGAGGCAGAAGCAGGGGGGACTGTGAATTTAAGGCCAGCCTAGGCTACACCTAGGGAGTTTAAAGTCAGTCTGGGCTACATATAGGTGATTAGACCCTCTCTCAAGAATGAATAAAGAAAGATGTGGGGCTGGACAGATGGCTCAGTAAAGAGCACTGGCTGCTCTTGCAGAGGACCCGGGTTCGATTCCCAGCACCCACATGGCGGCTAACAGTTGTCCATAACTCCACTCCAGGGGAGCCAACACCCTCTTCTGATCTCCTCGGGCATTGCCTGACACAGGTGCGCTTACATAAAAACAATAAAATATTTTTTTTAATTTTATTTAATGTGTATGTGTATTGCCTGCATGTATGTAAGTGCACCCGTGTCGTGCAATGCCCGTGGAGGTCAGAAGAGGCTGTCGGATCCCCTGAGACTCGAGTTACAGTTGTTAGCTGCCGTGAGGGTACTGGAATTTGAACCTGGGTCTTCTGCAAGAACAACCAGTTTTCTTAACCACTGAGCCATCTCTCCACCCCCACCCCCCCAAAAAAAAACAATAAAAAAATTTTTTTTTTTAAAAGAAGATGCTAAGAATCAAAGCAGCCCGATCTGGGCTGGTTCAGAGTACTTGCTCAGTGCCTTCTCTCCCTCCTGCCTCCAAACTTGCTCACTGATACCAACAAGGAAACACCTCTCATCCCTGCCAGCCTTGATGCACTCTCTGTTGGGAGTGGATGCTGGCTCCCTACTTCCTAATCAAGGCCAAAGAGGGACAAGAAAGACAATCCCAGCCGTGAGATGGAGCCATCTAAATCAAGCCACTGGGAGTGAGAGCACAGGAGAGGGTGTGGGAGGGTATGAAGCCACAGGACCCCTTCAGAGCCAGCACCTGGAGAGCTCTTGGCAGTGCATCCTGGGCATAAAAGCAGGCACAGTGGCAAGACCTCAACTCCTCCACGAAGGCACAGACTGCCCACCTGCATCTGCAATTCTTTGACCACACTTCACATTTATTAAGTGCCCAAAGACCCTTGGAATAACAAGACTGGATCACGGAGCTTGTGTCTAGGAAAATAAACAGGTGAGTCTCCTTTTATGCTTCTAACAGGTGACAGTGTAGAGCACTGTTCTTTATGAACTCTCCAGCCCATCTATGAAGCACCTGCTTTCCTAGGAGTCTCTCCCTCATCTGGCCCAGAATCCTTTCCACACATTGAGGAAACTGATTACATCTGCCTAGCACGGTGACTTTTCTTGTCACCAGAGCGGACCGACATTGCTTCTTTCTGCACTGATGACCACAGAACCAGGCCGAGGGCATGAAGACTGTGCCTGCTGAAGGGGCCTTGAATTCCCATGATGCAAAGGGAACATGGCTTCCCAGCAGGAGTAAGAACATGGCCCTGCTCCCTGGTCCATTCTCCGGGATCCTGTTTGGTCCTGTCTTCAGCACCCCCAGGCCACCCCATCTCCTGCTTGGTCTTCTTCATTTCCACACTGGTGTGCAGAGGTCTGCTGAGGATACTTGCACACGTGTCTACCAGGGGGGCTAGGCTCAGGCAGGGTCCCTCACAGTCCCCCGAACTAGTACTCCCTAGTTTGTGTTCTTGAAGACCAGAGCTCCCTTTATGAAAAGTGCTTTCAGGAGTCAGAAATTCTTGCAACTGTTTCATTCCAACCACAAAAATGTGGTAAATATTCCCCCTTTCCTCTCATGGCAACGTCCAGGTAAGAACAGCACATGGAATTTATAATTTCCTCTTGAAATTTATCCCCCAGCTCCACTCACAAATTCTGCTCCGAGTCCCTCCACTCACTCTACAGACCCCATTAACCTTATTCCTATCACCACTAGATCCACATCCAACCCTTTGGCCTTCTGAATGTCGGCATCTCTGCCCACCCCCCAACTTCCCTTTCCCAGCTCTTAGTTGCTCAGACATCTCCCACACATCTCTAAGGTTGAAGCACGGAGGCCAGCAGTGTCCTCAGGCCACTACTGCAAAAGCTGCCTGTGGGAGACAGATTTTCTCCAAAGTTTGTCCCCACTGGGCAGAAATCAGGATGACGTGGGGCTCAGTCCTTCTCGGGAATACCGACAGTCCATGATCCAGTGCCTGAAAAGAGCTGCTCTGTGGTATGCTTTTGGCCCCCATGTACTGAAGGCCTGTGTGTCCTAGGCTCTGTCCCAGCGTTGTTAGGAAAGCCTAGCAGGTCTTTGATGTGGGGTTCCAGCCTGACTGCTTTTCAGTCGGGTGAGGAGTTTCACCCTGCCGCCATGACATGCTGCCTCCCTACAGGTGCGAGCGCCGAGGTCAAGCAGTTACAGACAGAGCCCACCAACACTGGTCTTTCCTCTTCTGAGTTATATTGGGTGTTGGCTTTATTGAAGGCCAGCAGCCACCCCTTCCAGTTTTGCCTGGCTCGTCCAAGGAGTCTATGTCTTCATAATCAAAATGGAAGTTTTTAAATTGCAAACATTAACTTATTGTTCGATTCTTTCCTTAAAGGCAGGCATAGGTTTTGGCCTGTCCAAATTATTCACTAGTTGCTCTGGTTGCCGCAGAACTGGTGGGGAGATGGCCTATGGCTTTCCCTCTCCTTAGAACCCACTGGGGGCTGTTTCATTGTGACGGACGTGAAGTGGCATCTAAGAGGTTTTCCCCCTTGATGTGTTTTTTCTGTTCCCTCAGTGACTGACGCTGAACAGCACCTCACGAGCCATTTACACACTTTAAGTGTTTGAGTCTTTTGTGCATTATAAAACTTGATCTTAGTTGAATTTCAAGTACTGTATATACGCTGGATATGAGTCTCATGTCTTGACAAACGGCTATCTAATCCTGAAGTTCAATTTTGTTTAGTATTTTAAAGCTAGTTCTGAGTTGTTTGGGAAATCTTTGCCTACCCAGAAATATCATGAAGAGTTTCTGCATTTTCCTCCAAAAACTTTATTATAGTTTCTTTTTTTTTTCTTTCTTTCCCTCCCTCCCTTCCTTCCTGCCTTCATTTATTTTGGTCTTTTTGACACAGGGTCTCCCTGTAGCCCCAGCTGACCTAGAACTCACTATGTAGACCAGGCTGGCCTCAAACTCACAGAGATCTACCCGCCTCTGCCTCTAGAGTGCTGGGAGTAAAGGTGTGTGCCTCCACACCCAGCCATAGTTTTACCTTTTATGTTCACCTGTTTTGAAATAACATGTATACAGTAGAGGATGGAAGGAATCAAGTTTCAGTTTTGTTCAGATATAACAAGTTAGTAAAGTGGGCAGATTTGGATTAGGGAACTGGTTCAGCCTGTAAAGCACTCACCATGCAGGCCTGAGTCCTGGAGTTCAGTCTCTAGAACTCGCATAAAAGCCAGGTGGGTGTCGCAACCCCCCTTCCAAACATGCCCAGAATATTTCTTTTAGGGTACGTTTCGGCAAAAACCACTGAACAAAGAAAGTCCATTCTGCCATATGTCGAAATGCCAAGAAATTTATTTGTACTGTATTTGAAAGTGGAAACAGTGATGAAGTGGATATGGCTTTTGTACTAGGGTAAAGTTGGACCATTGTGAGCTGCACCATCGTAGGTCAGAGATACTTTGTGGTATTACTTTTGAAGACTGATTTTCTACATACCTGGTCAGATTCTACAAATAAGATACTTCCTACCTCATTTCCCATGTACATGCCTCTTTTTCTTGCTGGGTTGCACTGGCTCAAGTCCTAAGCATGCTGACCACAGAGGTACAAGAATCCTTGCCTTTATCCTAATTGTCCTTTAAGTGAGGTTACCTATAGTTTCTTTCCATAGATACACTTTATTGGGTTGAGGAATTTTTCCTCCATTTCTAGCCCCCACTCCCGCAACATTTCACAACACTGTAGACTAAAATGATCAAAATAGGTAATGGTTGGTCATGCAAAGCTGAAGGGTTTAAAGCAAACAAATGACCCAGGGTATTCAGGATTCTGTACACAGAAATGTACACTGGTGTTCCCTCTTCAGAGCATATCAACTATTGGACTACACAGATCCCGGAGGTGTAGTGCGGTCCTTTGGTAGACAACACTTCAGCTCTTCCATCCTGACATGCTGAGGAGCTAGGCAATGTGACTTGCTGTGTTTCTATAAGTGGATGTTGGATTCTGTCAGAAGTTTTTGTCCCGTTTTCTCAGTTTGAGCAGTAATAAAACTGCTGTGAACGTCCAAGTGTGAGCTTCTGTGTGGCAAATTTCAAGTTCTTGGATGAACACCAAGGAATACTGTTTAGTTTTTACAGAAACTGCCTGTCACTCCAGTGCAGTGCTGTTTCGTATTCCCAAGAAACAAGTTTCTCTTCACTGTGTGCCCTTTGAACATCTGTGACCTCATTCCTGAGTCACTGACCATTTTTCCTTTGGGCTCCATGTTTGTGGATTTCATTGTCTTCTCAGACCAGCTTGTGGTCGTATGAACTTTATTTCATTTTTGTTCTGATATTTAATGCCTTGAGCTTCCAATTTGCCTTTTCTGTTTAAGATAGGATTCACCAAGACTTATTTATCTATCTTTTGGTCCTGTGTCTAATAAATTTGACATCCTGGATTATGGTCTACCTTGGCCAATGGTCCCCGTGTATCTGACCAGAACCCACACTGTTGAGTGGATTGTTCTCCCACCAGATCAACCTGTTCAATGCCATATACCGACTGCTCAGGGCGTCAGGATGATGTGGTTCTGTCAGTTATCGAAAAGCGTGCTAAAATGTCTCTCCATGATTGCAGACACGTCTTGTTGAAGTTTTTAAGTCTTTGCAGCATGTATTTTGAAGCTATGAAGTTTATGAATGTTTGGGATTATTTCTTCTGTATGAACTGAACCATCCCCAGCAGTACTCTTTGTCTAACATTAACATAGCTATTCCAGGTAGATACATGATTGTGATTATGCAAAGTCTGCCCATCCTTTCCATATTTATCTAACTTCACCTTTATGTTTATGTTCATTTACATGACATTGGTGATCATTGCTATTGCTGGGGTTAAATCCACCTACTGCCTTTTGCTTTCTAAATGAACTATCTGGTCTTCCAAGTCTGTGACAAGTAAAATATTTAGGATACAAATCATGTATGTGATATGGTTTAATCATTGAGTTTCTGCAATATAAGACTGTCTCCTCTGAAATACAATTTTAAAATATTATTTTTTTGTGTTTAAGTGCACCTGTTTTGTGCAGTGCCTTCACAGGTTAGAAGAGGGCACTGGATCCCTGGATCTGGAGTTATGGACAGTTAGACACCAGGTGGGTGCTGGGAATCAAACATGGGTCCTCTGCAAGAGCAGTCAGTGTTCTTAACTGCTGAGCCATCTCTCCAGCCCTGAAATATAATTTTTAAATTTTTGGGGTGGGGGCACCTTATATTTTGGCCCCTCAGTATAGACACTTATGAATATTCTCTAATTGAGATACTTCTATACCCAACTGCCAAGTTAGCAGTTTTACAAAGGCATTTCACAGGCAAAATGATATATTCAAAGTCACTCATGTCACACTAAGAAACTAATGCTTCCCTAGTTAGTGACTGCCATCTAGCTTGACTGTTCATCAGCTCGATTCTGAAGTACTCATGCCGTATTCCTAGGGCCATTCAGACCAGAGGCTGGTCTCACAAGACAAAAGATTGAAGGAAACAAAAAAAATCCTAGTTAAATAATCAAAGAGATCTTTTATTTAAATGTAGACAGTGTATTAATCCATCAAAATAATTTATAATAGTTAAATGTCTCTTAAATTATAAATGATACTTTCTGAAGTTAAAAGCAATATGCATTCAACCGGTTTTTAAAATTATCTATTAAAAACATTAAACAAATGATAGTAGAAAAAAACTGTCTCCTATGAAGTCCTCTATGAAAGGAAATCAGGACAAGTTCCTGTTCAGACCAAAATCATTCCATCTCCAAAGGAGACTAAAGCAGCGTAAATAAATACCAACCAAAACGCCCACTTCTTGGATTTGCCTGTACAGTCCCAATTCTTTAGAATTATTTTGTTTCCCTCTGTGTACAGTAAGTTCCCTACCAGCAGCTCAGAAACAACCCAATGTCTGGTGAAACGCTCTTCTGCACCTGCGGTCAGCCTCACCAAACCCCACCTGTTGGTCAGCTCTGGACTTCTTCACCAGCAACATTCTTCGTAGAGCACTGAGTCTCCAACAGCCTCGGCCCACCTTAGCTTTCTAGGCGCCACTGTTGGGAGGAGGAGCCATCGCAGATCGCCATGGCAACAGAGCCCTTCTGACCCAGCGGGTCCACCACTCTCAGGCACTGTCCAACAGACACTTGGTACAGCCGATTGTTTTTCTGAAAAAATTAAAACGGAACAAAGAAACAATTTGTTCTTTATTTTAAAGGAAACAACCAGCTGGATGTGGTGCACCCTTTAATACCACCACTAAGGAGGCAGAGCCAGGAGTATCTGTGAGATCAAGATCAGCTTGGTCAGCTGGGGTTACCGGAAGACACTGTCTCAAAAACAGAACATGCAGGACAGGTGCAGAGAAGCTCGGCAGAGAGGTGGAGCATCCCCACTTAGGAAACCCTGATTACAAAGGAGACTGCCAACTCTTCAGACTAAGTCCAAAGTCGACTATTCCTGGCCCCCTCCTGCCCTCCCACACTCCTGAGAGGCTCCTCACCCCAAAGGTCCACTGCTGGGATCCTCCCGACCCATGGCACTTCATGAGTCGTGGCGGGTCTGATGAGCGAGTTTCTGACATGTCCAGACAAAGGAGATTGTTCAAAACCAATTCATGCTCTTCATTATAAATCCAGATCTAGTGATAAATAAGAACAAAAAATGTTTTAAAAAAACAAGTTTTACTTTAGTTACCAGAACTGAGGCCTGGACACCACTTTACAGTAATTTATGCTGTGGTCTCCAAGAAGACAATCCAGCACACTACCTCATCTGGAGAGTCAGCTCAGCCCTCTGAAACGGAATGAGCCTCCTTGTGGCTGTGTATTAATACAACCCCAACTCAGTAAGTACGTGTAGCTGTGAGATGACTGAATGGGTAAAGGCACCTTCTGCCAAGCCTGACAACCTGAGTTCAATCCCCAGTACCACATGGTGGTAGGAAAGTACCAACTCCCTCAAGTTGTCGTTTGACCCCCTCAGGTGCGCCATGATGCATGTGTACACACACCCCTATCCCTAAAGTGAAAAACAGTGTTAACACTACGACTCCATTATCCCAAACATCCCTCAGCCCGTGCTCCCACTGAAACCTGAAGTGTCACTGCAGCCCACAACCTGAGATCTCCTTACTCAGAGATGCATCAGAAACACTTCTTAAATCACTTCCCAGTGCGCACTCACCTAAACTTTAGTGTCCTTGAGCACTCTTAGACACAAAGTGTGTTTTAGAAATGTCTTAAGTACACACTGCATTTACCAAAAGATGTTTCCCATCCTATGTGACACTCCTACATCACTAAACTGAAAACCAGGCAGGCCAGTGTTGACAGCAGCCTGTGCCATCAGTCAGGCACTCTATCTCATAAATTGTTCTAAAGATAGAGTACCGAACAGAGTAAGGTATCAAATTATTTTTTTAATATTTATATTTTCATTTTGTGTTTGAGTGTATTGCTTGCATGTGTGTAATGCCCACAGAGGTCTGAAGATGGTATCGGAGCCCCTGGAACTAGAGTTATGGACAGTTGTTAGCCATCATGTAGGTGCTGGGAATCAAACCCAGGTCCTCTGCAAGAGCAGCCACTGGTCTTAACCACTGAACCATCTCTCCAACTCCAGTTATTAAATTATTAAGTTATGTAACTACAATTTTGTTGTGACTTCCTTTGATAAACCATATAAATTGGTGAGGAAAACTCAGTTTAAAAACAAACGATAGAAGATGGTCTTGTTCATCTAAGAGGATTTAAGTCTAGTCCAGAGAGGCACATTCCTCAGCCTCCTCACAAGCCCATGCAGTTTGTAAGTCAGGGCACATCACAGACCACAGTAGAGAGCACAAATAAAGACTTGATACAACTGACATGTCATATGATAAGCAATGAGCAGAGGCCAGAGAAACACGGAGAAGACAGAGGGGTTATTTTAAATGATCACCTAAGCTCACTTGCAACTCAAACTCAGAATACTAAACATCTTTATATGCTGAGGTCTGCCTGCCTGTACTTCCCTCCTAGAGCCGGGTGCTGGGAGGCATCACTCACCTGAGTCGGGTCCCCATAGTCGCAAGCCTTAAGCACTACCAGGCCTCCCTTCTGGCTGGAGTGGCCCTGGGCAACCAGACACTTGTTGGTCTGGAAGTGATAGAGCTGCAAGAGAACAGAGTGCCCTTGACCACTCTGCAGACCTCACAGTGCTGAGAGGGAGGGCATGCACGGTGTGAAACTGCTCCAAGGTCATGAGCTGAGTACCCCAGGGTGCCAGGCTCAGCATATGTGAGCCTCATAATAGGTACCACAACACAGTCAAGATGTAACATGCACAAGCAGTGTTGAGAAAAATTCTAGCTATGTGCTGCAGGGGAGGAGGGGAACTGATACCCCACTCTGGAGAACGTAAGAGGAAGTCAGTCAAGGAAATAAAAGCAAAAGGTATTTTAGATAATAGGGTCAGGCATGGTAGCTTGGGCCTGTAACCCAAAGCACTTGGGAGGCTGAGGCCAGCCTGAACTACCTAGCAAATCCTGTTTCAAACAACAACTAATGTCTTTAAAAACTAGTGCATAATTAAGTGTAATCTAGATGCTGACATGGAAATAAATACAGAACCAAGGCCTTCCAGCAGTGAGAGTAATAGCAACAAGCACCCCCCTGGGGGGGGGCGGTTCAACTATATGGACACACATGGTATCTTTTTACTTTAAAGAGAAAAACATCCAGCGGGCATGGTGGCGCACGCCTTTAATCCCAGCACTCGGGAGGCAGAGGCAGGTGGATCTCTGTGAGTTCAAGGCCAGCCTGTTCTACATAGTGAGTTCCAGGACAGCTGGAGCTACAGGGAGACCCTGTCTCAAAAAAAACAAAAAAAAAAAGAAAAAAGAAAAAAAGAAAAACATCCAGTAAACATCATCTTTGGTTTTTGTTGTTGTTGTTTGGTGGTGGTGGTGGTGTTTTGAGAGGGTCTCCCTAGTCCCAGCCCACTTAGAAGTCACTATGTAGGCCAGGCTAGCCTCAGTCTCACAGAGATCTGCCTGCTTCTGCCTCCTGAAGGCTAGGATTAAAGACGTGTGCCACCACACCAGTAGCAATAAACAACTTGATGGCTGGTTGGCATTTTATAAAGGAAAACAAGGCCGAGTGTGGTGGCACACACCTTTAGTCCCAGCACTCGAGAGGCAGAGGCAGGCAGATCTCTGTGAGTTTGATGCCAACTGCCGGTTGCAGGGAGACCCTGTCTCAAAAAAGACAAAATAAAATAAAGGAAAACAAGAAACAAAGTACTAGACTCAATTCTAACCCCCTAAAACAGAAGCCAAGAAAGGGAAAACTGGCCACAATGGCATGTTCTGAGTGCCAGGGACTTGGGGGCTTCTGTGGTACATATGGGCACACTGTGTACAGTTCACGTTTGCCTATATGGGCACATGTGGGGGTTATGCAAGCTTTCCTCTTTAGTCATCGAGGCAGGGTCTCTCAATTGAGCCCAGAGCTATCCAGGGGACTAGTCATGCTAGCTTGCTTGCTCAAGGATCCCATCTTCCATTCACAAGCACTGGAATCCCAGGTGAGCTGCCAGGCCTGCCCAGCCATTTACATGGGTTCTGGGGTGCCTTATTCACTGAGCCAGCTAACTCCCCAACCTCCCCTCCCCACTCAGGATGCCAGTTTTAAGAAATGGTTCAGGAGAACACTATGACTTTAGGGGCAGGAAGTGTGAACGAAGATCAAGAGTTCATCAGCGTGCTCAGAGGACTGCTACAGTTAGTTCTTGGGTGTGAAATCCTATTTCCTGTCACCACCCTGACAGGTCACTATCACTCACTCCAGAGCTGTGACTTAATAGTCACAGCTGCTGTGCTTCCCATTCATCTTCCTTCAGAAGTCCCGCAGCTACCACACTACCTTTATTCCTGTGCATTACTCCCATGCATCTCTGTTCTTGGAAGCTGTGATGTAAGCAACCCTAAAGTTGCACTCCCTTGAGTTGAGGGAGTCCCCAAAGAGTAATTAAATCTCGTCCTCTAAGTCTAAAATGGCATTTATCACAGGGCCTCAAAACTCATCCTGCCACACACCTGACCTCTCCTAGTGAAACCCTCAGGGCTGCCATCTCACCCGTCCACGCCGAAGGACTCTAGGGCGTTTGGGCCCTCTGTTGATGAAAATGGGTTGCTGAGGTTTGGCATTCGGTCCAGGTATTTGCATCTCAGGGTAAATATTATCCAAATACCACTTGAATGACTGACAACCCAATTTCTTCCTTAATTCAACACGTTCACTGATATTTCCAAAGTTTTTGGTCTTCAAATCAGGTCTTAAGGAAAAATACTGCTCCTGAGTTTAAAAAGAAATGAGAATGGAACTGGTTTAAGAAACAGATACTATGAGTCCTGTATGAAGAAACAAAGTCAGTGGATTGTGAGCTGAAGTATCTTCCATTCCAGTATTTTCTTGATGTTGTTAGAAAATATCAATGGGCCAGGTGTGGTGGCACATGTCTTTAATCCCAGAACTCAGGAGGCAGAGACTGGTAGATCTCTGTGAGTTCAAGGCCAGCCTGGTCTACATAAGGAGTTCCAGGCCAGCCAGCTGGGGCTATGGGGAGACCCTGTCTCAAAAAGACCAGTAAAAAGAGAAAGAAAATATCAATGGAAACTTTCTACATGTCTATCACCAACGATAATATCTTAAAAAGCAAGATATACTCCTGTTTCTCAGAGGACAAAGTAGTTATCATAACTCTCAAAACAGGCTACATGTGAGACCAGAGATTCTTAAACTCTGGCCTCAGGACTCTGCTCTTCTCTTTTCTATATATATATATATATACATATATATATATATATGGGGTCTTTTAAGACAGGGTCTCACTATACAGCTCTAGCTGTATATATATATATATGGGGGAAGCACAAGCCACAGGGTGTGTGTTGGTGTCAAGGACAACTCACTGGAGTTGGTTCTCTCCTTCCAGTTTTAGGTGGGTTCCAGGAATGGAAGACCATCAGGCTTATACAGCAAGCACCTTTGCCCACTGATCCATCTCTCTGGCCCTCACTAAATACATTTTTAAAAATAACAATTTCATGAAAAAATGTGGTTGAAGGAGTATTTTAAAAGCTATTACAAGGCCGCGCATGGTGGCACACGTCTTTAATCCCAGCACTCGGGAGGCAGAGGCAGGCAGATGGATCTCTGTGAGTTCAAGGCCAGCCTGGTCTACATAGTGAGTTCCAGGACAGCTGGGGCTACAGGGAGACCCTGTCTCAAAAAAAAAAAAAAAAAAAAAGGCTATTACAAATAATTGTAGTTATACTTATTTAATACAATACCATGATGTTAGTTGTTTTTGTTATTTTTGAGACAAGGTCTCACCATGTAGCCCAGACTCGCTTCAAACTCATAATCCTGCTTCTGCCTCCTGAGTGCTAGGATCACAGGTACGCTTATAGCTTTGCCGTACTAGTCATGACATGAAATAAGAAATCATTATTGAGATTCACATTTGAATCTTCTTGCTCTTTGAATTATCTTTTTACCCATGCAAGTTTTGTGTGGTTTTTATTGTTTTTATTTGAGACATCACCTCACTATGTAGCCTTGGCTGGCCTTGAGCTCAGAGATCTGCCTGCATCTGCCTCCCAGCCAGGACCACTGGGATCAGCACAACACAATGCAGGATCTCTGTCAGCAAAGATCAAAGCGTAGCAAGGAGCTGCTGCCTCTGCTCCCAATAGTCACTTCCTTGTCTGTACTCCACTGTGTGCTGTTTGCCACCATTTGCATTTACTCACAGGGCTGCAAATAACTGTGCATTCCCTTATTTATCTTTTTTTAAAAATAGATTATTTTATGTGTATGAGTGTATTACCTGCATGTTATGTAAGCGCACCGATGTTGTATAATGCCCACAGAGGTCAGAAGAGGATGTTGGATCCCCTGGAACTGCAGTTACGGATGGCTGTTAGTCATCATATGGGTGCTGGTAACCAAACCCGGGTCCTCTGCAAGAGCAGCCTGTGCTCTTAACCACCAAGCCATTCTGTCCAGCCCCCTTATTTATCTTTAATCTCAGAAATCCTACAACAGAGTCTGGCACATGCTAAGCTTTCAACCAGGCAATGGTGGTGCACGCCTATAATCACAGGAGGTGAAGGCCCGGGGACTGAGTTTAAGGGCAGCCTGGTACATAGTGAGACACTGTTTCAACTGTATACAAATATACAGTAACATTTTTTCCTAACAGTCAAGATGTGGAAACAATCCAAATGTCCATTAGTTGATGGGCAGATAAACAAAATGCGGTCTCTCTTTACAACAGAATATTACTGAGCAATAGAAAGGAGTGAAGTGCTAAGACTGGAAACAACTCGGATGAACCTGAACCCAGTGAAAGGAACCAGAGAAGAGCACAGATGTACAAGAAGTCAGGAAAAAACTGGAGTCAGGAGACATACTGGTGGTTGGTCGTCTGGGGCTTGTGAACATTAACGTGGCACTCGAAGGCTATGGTGTTTCTTTTTGGTGAGATAAAATACTCAAATTTGACACATGAATTATATTTGACAAAGATGTTGCAAAGAAAATAAAGTTGCATAAGGTAGGAGAGAAACAGGAAAGGAGTCCATGCAGCTACACAGAGACCAGTAGACCCTTCTGAGGGAAGCCCAGGTCTGTGGAATCTGCAACAGAGCAGAGGACAGGCCACTGGAGACAGCTGCCTGAGTCTGCCGCATTACAGTCCTAGTGTCACCACTCAGAAAAGCCAGAGCAAGATTAGAACCAGAACTGAGTGAAATCCTTGGTGAAAAGCAGCAGCCTAGAAATAAACCAAACAGTGAAGGTCAACCAAGGAGAATGAAGCAAGAGTGAAAAGCAAACCAAAGCTGTCACCAAGGGTGTATGTGGCCAGACAGACACCACCTCACCTTATACTCATCCAGCCAGACGTGCGCCAGCCTCAGGGAGTTGTGCGTCATGGTGTCCTGGCCTTCAGGAGAGCCATACGGTCGCCTCTTTCGGAAAATGTGTCCTACTCTTGAGCAAGGGATGATGAAAAGCTTACCGCCACACATCCAGATCTGGCCAGAAGCAAAATGTATTAACCACTTCACAGATTGTGAGCCAATACATGAATCTTCATGGAATTAATCTCTATTAATGGTGGTTATGAAACGTTATGGGATGTTTTATCTTACTAGATATAAATATTCAAATAGAAGAAGGTAGAATCATTTAAAAATTAGGTCTTTCTGAAATTAAAAATGCACCAAATTCTGACACTAGTATTAATTTGTCACCGTATGTCTGAAATTGTGCTTAGCATCTGCGATGGCTAATCATGGCTGTTAACTTGACACACTTGGGAAGAGAGAACGTCAATGGAGGAACTACTTCCATTAGACTCGTGTGTGACCATGTCTGTGGGGCATTTTCTTCACTGCTAATTGATGCAGGAGGGCCCAGCCCACTGTGGGATGAAATTAAACTCTTTCCTCCCCAAGTTGCTTTTGGTCATGGTGTTTATCACAGCAACAGAGACATAAACTAAGGCTTCATCTTTTGTTGCTTTAATGGACTTGATCTTAAGGATTTAAGGACAAACAATGCTTACTGACTGGTATTCTAATGATTAGGATAGAAAGGTTGCTTCCTATGTAGTTTCTATTACTTTTTTCTAAGAATTCTTTTCTTCTTCCCATGTGTTTGTGTGTGTAGTGTTCATGCCCATGTGGACACATATTTGCATGTGTGTGAATGCACATCTCTGCAGCATGCATGAAAGTTCACACGGATGCCTGAGGTTGTTGGGAATATTCCTTGTCACTAAGTTTCGCACATTATTTTGAGGCAGGGTCTCTTATTAATCAAACCCAGGGCTCACCTACATGGCTATTCTCACTAGCCAGTCTGCTCTGCCTTCCAAGGCTGTGGTTTCCAAGGCTGGAATTAAAGGCAAGCTGCCATGCCCACCTGGCGTTCACATGGGTTCAGGGGATCAGAACCCCTGCAGGGCAGTGTTTCTACCACCAAGCAGAAGCATCCCCCAACTCCAAATAAAACTTTATATAGAAGCCAGGCATGGTGGTGCACACCTTTAATCCTAGCAGTTGAGAGGCAGAGGCAGGTGGATCTCTGTGAGTTTGGGGCCAGTCTCCAAAGCGAGTTCCAGGCTAGTTGGGACTACAGGGAGACTCTGTCTCAAAAAGACCTTTATACAGAATAACTGTAAAGATTCAAAAGAAATTTAGTTTCAGAGCTAGGCGAGATGACTCAGTGGGTTAGGGTTGCCACCATGTCTAACAATTACTTGAGTTCAATCTCCAGGACCCACATGGTGGGAAAAAGAGAACTCCTGGAAGTCGTTCTCTGACTTTCACACATGCCATGTTGCATACATGCAGAGATATGCACACAAAATATTTGAAATTTTAAAATTAACTGAGTTCCTGTCTCAACTTTGCCCTTGACTGTGTTAGTTTAGTTATGCTAATATTTGTGGAACTTACCTTATTTAAAAAAATAAGAAAACTGGACTAATGGTATTTCTATAAACTTTCGAGAGATTATGGAGAAAACCCACCTTTTAAAGCATTGTGGCAATTAATATATTTGAAAAAATACAAACTGACAGATGTAAGTACTGTCTTATGGGCAGACAGGACCAGGAGACAGGAAGCAGGTAGGGCATCTACTCAGAAGGCCAGTCTTTCTTTGTCCACAAATCACATACCTCACCCACACTACCATCTTTGCACTTCAGAAGGAGTTATGAGGATGAATTTCTTCCTCAAATTGGAGGTGTCCATGTAAATAAAGTACTCAAGCTATATACATGGAGTGATGGCATAACTTGACACCATACAGGGCTATTTAACAAAGCAAAAGAGGGAGTGATGAATATTTTTCCAGAACAGATGTGAACCACAAAGGTCTTTGACAAAGGGAAATATGAATACATACAGCAATCGAATGGATAAACTGATAACAAAACCCATCATAAATGCACATCAAGACTGTTTATACCCATTCATCACAATCATACTTTAAAATTAGTGTGAATGTATCTCATGTGCTTCTCATTTTCTGAATGGATATCATCCACCTCACATACTAGTAACAAACAGCCTGCCCAAGGACAATCTGTCAGTAAAGAGAATCAAGGAGAAGGTACAGAGTGTGGGTGGTGATGGCAATTATAGTCCATTACAGACTGCTTAATAATTGAACACACAAATAAAATTACCCGAAATGATATTTCCAGATTTTCTCCTCCCCAGATATCCATTCCACTGTCATACTGTCCAAGTTCATTGAAATATTGTCTGTTCATGGCAAACAATCCTCCAGCCATTGTGGGCGACCTAGAGAAGGACCAGAGATCCTATGCTAGTTAGTATAGTCAGTTATCTATTTTTGTTTCTAAAAAGTCTGTGTAACTTTGAACCACAGATAGGAGAGTGATTCCTATTAGAGAAAAGATAAATAATAAAAATATAAATAAATATGACATGTTTTTGTCTTTTATCTAATAGGGAATAAGTTAGACCACATAACTGAATTTTCTAGATTGCCATGTTAAGAATCTGGCATATGAAGGTTGCTTTTCTAAGTATCAAAAGTACTTTTCACATTGTGACCATGTTTGATAGAAATCCAGCTGAGATGGATTACATACTTCCTTTGGATAGTCTGGTAGAGCCACTGGACAAACACTGTCCCCCACATTCTAAGCTGGATCAAACATGTATTAGCAGCAGCTCTCAAGTAGATGGCCCAACAGACATTCTGCAATGGTTAGAGCATTTTTAACTGTCATGACTTGGCACGTGGGTGGACAGAGTGACTGTTATTGGTATCAGGTTTAAAGCCAGGGATTCTGCGAAGTCTCCTAAGCCACAAAGGCCAGCATGTCAGGGGGCTGAGGCTGAGCCATCCTGTGTTGCGGTGAGAGGAGCTGCTGCCGGCACCATCCTAGGACTCAAGCTCAGTTTCCAGGCATCTGACTTCCTGAATCTGGACCTAAGAGATGACGGACATGTTTTACTGGCCCCAGTTGCCTGCAGAAGAGAGGTAAAATACCCAGCAAGGACTGTATAATGTCTAGCACTAAGTAAAGAGACAAATAAGAGCAGACATATATTAAAAAAAAAAAAAAGCAACCAGAGAGGTAAATCACATGAAAGAAAACAAGAGAAACGATCTACACCGAAAACAGATATGCAGGAGTTTTGATTACGAAGTTACCACACTTTACTGCTCACTACACTAAGGGACAAAAGACAAGACTGAGAGTTTGACAGAGAACTAGATAAGTTAAAAACATTCATTCGGACTAGGGACGTAGCTCAGCTGAAAGTCATAGAAAGCTCTGGCTCCAATCCCCAGTACTACAAAAGTACAACATATGAGGCCAGCCTGGGCTACATAAGACCCTGATTAAAAAAAAAAAAACAACAACAAAAATAAACAAAAACCACCAACAAAAAACCCCCAACTATTTATACGTATCTATAAAACACATCTGAACAAGAAATTATCTTCAAAAGAATCAAAAATAAGACAGGCATGGCTTCCTCTGCCATAGAAGTTTTTGTTTTTTCTATCACCCGCGATTCTGTAATAGAGATTTTTTTTAAGGATGCATGAAACTACCTTCAGGTTACATGTATAAGGCATATGAAACACAAACACTTTTCGCAGTTCTAAGACTTAGGCCCCATCCCAAGATATACAATTATGAATACTCATATATTCCAAAAATCCAACAAAAATCTGAAATTTGAAAACTTATGGTCCCAAACATTCCTGTCACAATGACTGGACACTAGTTAGTGGCCAATACAACATAAGCCTGACATGGAAACCACAGCACACAAGAACTCTCACACTATCCCATGCCAACAGTTTGTCTGCCTCTCTGACAAACTACACAGCACTCTGAGAGTTCTTACTCGTGACTCTTTCCTTAGGATTTGGCTGACTGCTCAAAATTCAATAAGAACTCCAGATTGTATAACGGGCAAATAAGGTCAACACTTGTGCTCCTTACAAAGAAGGAATTATTTTAAAAAAATTTTTTATGTGTATGTGTGTATTGCCTACATGTAAGTAAGTGCACCATGTTGTGCAATGCCCGAGGAGGACAGAAGAGGCTGTTGGATCCCCTGGAACTGCTGGGATTCAAACCTGGGTCTTCTGCAAGAACAGTCAGTGTTCTTAACTGCAGAGCCATCTCTCCAGCCCCAGGAATTTTTTTTAATATACTGTTTTTGCCCTAAGGAAAGACTGATGGGATTTTTCCATCCTTTTCTTACTTTATTGGTGCAGTGGCTCCATCTGGTCCTCCCAGCTCAGAAAGGGGAACAAGATCCCACTTGAAATGCAGCCCCCAGTTGAATCCTCCCCGCACGACTGGGGACGAGCTGTAGGCAAGTGTGTCAGCACTGATGATGTCTATCACAGGGCACACCACAGTGTGTGGGTCCTCTTGGATGATGGCCAGCAAGGGCTGCAGCCACCTCACATTGACTTCACAGTGGCTGTCCAGGAACACCAGGACTTCTCCTGAGGAGGCAAAGGGAGAAGCTGGAAGAGATGCTTCACTCATACCTAGCCACAGCACAGCCACCAGTGTGGGTGGAGGTGTGACACAGGCACAGGCAATGGGATGGCACCATGCCCCACCCCAAGAAGAAACTACTCCTCTATCGACCAGCAAATCAGTCACACAGCTCCGTATCTGTCCACCTTAATGAGGACTACAGTGTCTAACCCACCAGCCACTGCAGAAAGGTGCACTCCTCAGCAGTCAGTGTTCAGCAAAAGGTGGGGAGGAATGCCTTCCTGGCTCTCCTGTTTCTGAAGGTGCTACTTCCCCAAATGGGACCAGATCAGCTAAGTACCAGAGTAAGCCTGCCACAGCACCTGACAGGTCCTACACCATGTCTGAACAAAGACGTAACCAGGTCATTAAAAAAATTATTTAAGAGGCTGGAGAGATGGCTCAGAGGTTAAGAGCAGTGGCTGCTCTTGCAGAGGAACCAAGTTTGATTCCCAGCACCCACATGGTGGCTAACAACTGTCTGTAACTCCAGTACCAGGGGATCTGATGCTCTCTTCTGACCTCTACAAGCATTGCACAACATGGGTGCACTTACATACATGCAGACAATACACTCATACACATAAAATAAAAATAAAATTTAAAAAATGATTTCTTTTTATCTGAAAAAAACTGAACTTAGGAAATATGCACTGTAGCAATACAGTGGTTCAAATGGCATAATCCTGAGATGCTCCACATTTTCTTTACCCACTGTCTTCATAACCCAGCAAGCCAATCCCTAAGTCTCTGGCTAACCATCTGTAAAGGCAGCCACAATGCCTGACCTCAGTGCAGTGGTTCGGACTGGATACAGAGCACGTGGTCTCGAGGTCTGCCCCCTGCTTTGGGTCAGGGCAAGTTTAAGAGAATGAGACAAAGGTTCCAAAAGTGAAGTCCCAATCAAGCCCAGGGTCTCAGGAGCAGAGCAGTGTAGGGCAGTAGGTGATGTCAGGAGAAGGGAAAGCCCTGCCAGTTTCAGGACTTTTTACAGGCCCACACGCTTCCTGCAATTCTATATACTATAGAACATGAATAGATTTGTCTTACTTTTTAAAAAAATATATTTTATTATTTTTATGTGTATGAGTGTATTGCCTACATGTATATGAGTGCACCCATGTTGTGCAATGCCAAGGTGATCAGAAGAGGGCTTCAGATTCCCCTGGAACTGGAGTTAAGGACGGTTTATAGCCGCCATGTGGGTGCTGGGAATCGAACCCAGGTCCTTTGCAAGAGCAGTCAGTGCTCTTAACCACTGAGCTGTCTCTCCAGCCCCAGTCTTACATTTTTCTAAGGAAAAAATTTTAATCAAGATTCACGAAAGTAGCCAAGTGTGGTGGTGCACACCTTTAATCCCACCACTCAGAGGCAGGTGGATCTCTGTGAGATCAAAGTCAGTCTGGTCTACATAGCAAATATCAGGCCAGCTGGGGCTACAGGGAGACCTTGTCTCAAAAAGACGAAAACAAAACAAAACAAAAAAATCTTACAATCTTACACCTACACCTTTTTTTTTTTCTTCTTTTTTTTGGTCTTTTTGAGACAGGGTCTCCCACCTGGCCACACCTACATCTTTTTAGGGATACATAAAAAATACAAGCCGGGCGTGGTGGCGCAGGCCTTTAATCCCAGCACTTGGAAGGCAAATGCAGATGTATCTCTGTGAGTTCAAGGCCAGCCTGGTCTACATAGTGAGTTCCAGGACAGCTGGGGCTACAGGAAGACCCTATCTCAAAAAACAAAAACAAAAAACAGAGGTGTGGTGGCACACACCTGTAATCCCAGTACTAAGGAGGAAGAAGTAGGAGCTCAGGAGTTCAAAGTCATATTGAAGCCAGCCTGGGATCAAAACAAACTGAAGACTGAGCCTGGTGCCTGTTTTCCTTTCAGGGAGAAATTAGTGGATGATGGAAAGGACTGAACATGTAGCAGCAGGGGCGCCTCACTCCTCCATGAATCAGGAGTTCTACACTTACTACAGTTGTGGAACCTGAAATACTGACACAATTCCAGAGGTATGTGCTGCACACTAAGAATTATTAGCATAATTTAGTCAAGGTGTTTGGATTTTAAGTTTTTATGTATTAAAAAATTTTGGAAGTTCAGTTACATGTTGGCTTGGACATTCCTGCTTATGTAAGCAAGAACGCATGAAGCCGGTTTGAGAGACAATAATTAACAGAAGTCTCTACAACAGCAGGCCAGCAAGGACTACTGAGTACAGTCCTTGGACTCTGAGATTTAGGGCAGCGGGTCACAGTTATAAAGTCTTTCCAAACAGCTGCATCCTGGTTACCACTGGCAACATCCGAATCAAGCATGGCTGTCTGCAGACCTCTATAGGACCAGAGCAGCTGCAAGGGTTGGTCCTTGGCATCCAACACTACAGGAGGCACCATGGGTGGCTTACCTGTAGCATGGGCTGCCCCGATCATCCGTCCTCGAATCAGTCCCTCACGCTTGCCATTTCTGATGACTCTGATCTTTCCAGGGAGGTATCTGTGGACATACTCATCTAGTTCCCCTTTTAAATCATCTGAAAAGACAGGTCCACAATGAAACTACATGAAGCACACACCAAGGCATTTAAAACTTCCTCAAGTCATATCTGCCGCATGCCAAAATCCACAAATTATCAAGGAGACATCATAGTATCTGCTTCATTTTAAGACTAATTAGCTTCCCCCACAGGAAAAAAAAGAAAGGGCAGGAGCTAGAATGCAAGTCAACAAGAACTGTCACCCCAGTCAGGTGTTTCCACAGCATCTACCATAGCATTTTGCACAATGTCTGAAATGAAGCCCAATGTGGGGCCTCATGCCTGTAACCCAAGCACTCAAGGCTGAGGCAGAAGGACTACTGTAGGTTCAAAGCCAGCTTTGGCTTCATAGTGAGTTTGGGGGTAACTTGGCCTAGAAAGAGAGACTTTGTCTTTCAAATGAAAATGTCTGCAATGAGTTTCTTAAGCACAAGCATATTTCAACAACAGAACATTCAAAACAAAGCTTTGTTGGCAAACTCTAGACAGAGACAGGAGGACCAGTGTTCAAAGCCAGCCTAGGCTGCATTACACCCTGTCTAAAAACAAAATGTGGCGTGGGGGGGCGGGGCTCACAAATGTGATGTAAGCATCTTCTGAGATTCTCAGTGACATATGGCTCTATTTCAAAAGAGGAAAGAAATAACTTCAGTTGTCCCAACTAGAAATTATTTAACAGCAGTGGTAAATATCACATTTTATTCATTCAGTGTCTTTCTTCTAATAGCACAAAATGCCTGGGATAGTGGCACATACCTTTAATCCCAGTACTCAGGAGGTAGAGGCAAGAGGCAGAGGCAGGTGAATTTCTGTGAGTTCAAGCCCAGCCTAGTCTACATAGTGAGTTCCAGGCCAGTTGGGGCTACAGGGGAGACCCTGTCTCAAAAAAACCCCCAAAAAACAAAAAACCAAACCAAAAGCACAAAATACTTATAGGGAATTCTAGTTATTTACTTTTAAATTCCATCATTTATCAAAGATAGGCCATTCATATATAACAGTAATTCTTTCTATAGTATATAAAACTGTAAATTATTAGTAATCTCTCCTAATAAGTAAAATGGCCACAAAACCAAAAGCAAAATACAGGCTGATTTGTTTTTAAAAAAATCTCATCAACGCCGGGTATGGTGGCACACACCTTTAATCCCAGCACTTAGGAGTTCGAGGCCAGCCTGGTCTACATAGTGAGTTCCAGGACAACTGGGGCTACAGGGAGACCCTGTCTCAAAAAAAAGACAAAAAAAAAAAAAAAATCTCATCAACAGAGTAGCATGTGTCTGTGATAGCCCCATGCTGTCCGGGAGGCTCACACAGGAGGTCTGCTTGAGCCTAACACAAACCATGTCAGAAAAAGAAAAGAAAAAGTACTATAAATTCTAGATCTTAGTATTTAACAAATCTATTTAATCCAGACTCAGATTTTTTTAAACTCATTTTCTTTTTAATTAAAATATTTTCAAAAATTATTTATTTTGTATGTATGGGAGTACACTTGTGGAGGTCAGAGGACAACTTACAGGAATCAGTTCTCTCCTTCCAACGTGTGAGTTCCAGGGATTAAACTCTAGTCAGATTTGATAACAAGTGCCTTTACCCACTGAGTCATCTTGCTCACCCAATCACTCATTCTTAAAAGTAAGTTTGGGGGTTTTATTTTTTCTGTATGTGCTCCAGTACCACATGCATGCAGTGCCCCTGCAGGTAGACTTATAGGCTGTTGTGAGACACCTGATATGGGTGCTGGGAACTGAACTGGGGTCCTCTACAAAAGCAGTACCTCTTAACTGCTGAGCCATCTCTCCAGCCCCAAAACTAAGTTCTGAAATCTATGAGCCTTTCCAAATTCTCTCCCATAGTTTCAGTATTTACCGTGTGAGTACTGTGGCCAGGGCATGGTATTGCCTTTCACTCCATATGCCTACAGGACTGGTGTACAACTCTGCTGCAGCCACCAGGGGGTTTAAAGAGTTGGGCACATGAAAAACGTCTCTGTGCCATTCTTTATCACTATGCTCTGTAAAGTACTGCTGTAGGGAGAAGGCTGGGAGCCAGGCAGAGCAGGGTCTAACCTCAACTCTGCTATTCACAATTGAGGTCTTGAGAGATGGCTCAGGGGTTACAAGCACTGGCTGCTCTTGCAGAGGACCCAAGTTCAGTTCCCAGCACCACATAGTGGCTAACAACTGTCCTTAACTCCATTTCCAGGGGATCCAACACCCTCTTCCAACCTCTGTGGGCACTGAACAACATGGGTGCACTTAAATACAGGCAGGCTATTAATACACATATGCACATAAAATAAAAATAGTAATTTTAAAAAATTCATTAAAAGAGAATGTACAATTAAAATTTGGAGGTGGAGAGATGGCTCAGCAGTTAAGAGCACTGGCTGTTCTTGCAAAGGATCCAGGTTCAGTTCCCAGCACCTACATGGTGGCTAACAACCATCTGTAACTCCAGTTCCAGATGATCCAATGCCTTCTTCTGCCTTCTATGGGTATTACATACATGGGTGCACTTACATATATGGAGGCAAAACACTCGGACATACAAAAAATAGTGAATATTTTCATACAAAAAATATTTAGTGAATAGTAAAATATGTAGTGAATCTCAGAACACTGGCACTCAGATATCACCTGAGTTTTGAAAGTGAAGCACCTACTGTAGGAGACGACTGGTGTAGCAGACATTATATAACACAGATCATATCTTTCTGGGAAACCACCATTATTTCAAAACAGACTTCCTAGTTTTTATTTATTTAAATTTTATGTGCATTAGTGTTTTGCCTGAATGTATGTAAGTGCACCTATGTAGTGCCCACAGAGGCCAGAAGAGGGTATCAGATCCCCTGGAATGGGCGTTAAGGACAACTGTTAGCTACTATGTGAGTGCTGGGAACCAAATTTGGGTCCTCTACAAGAGCAGCCAGTGCGCTTAACCTGTAAGCCATGTCTCCAGCCTGATAACAGACTTTTTGTTTTAAGTAAGACAAGGGAAAATTCCTCAGCGGCAAATCTGGGTAACACCATTTGTAAACAGATTACAAAGATAAAGTAGCTCTATAAAATCATCACATAATCAATGGGTAGGCAATCAATCAGCTGGCTGCCTACAGGTGCTACAGACAGCTGTCAAACCTTATGAACTGTGATGCGTCATAGCATCACTTACCGAAGTTACTGTTGTCATCTACAAGGATGACCTCATGAAGAAGGTGTGCTGGTGTGCGGTCTACAACGCTGTGCACTGTTCGAAGCAAGGCAGAGAAGGCTTCATTGTAGAAACAAATAACAACACTAGCAACTGGCAGGTCAGCTGGGTAAGACTTATCTTTACATCTGTAATAATAAAGACAAGAAAATCTGACAATTTAAGAGGCTCAGGTGTCAGGAGAGAAGATGACTCAGCAGTTAAGAGCATGGATTGCTCTTGCAGAGGACCAGAGTTCATTTCCCACATGGCTTACAACTGCTTGTAACTCCACCTCTAGGGGACTGAAGCCCTCTTCTGGCCTAAGGGCACTAGCATTCATGTGCACAACCCCACCCCCACCCCCAGACACACATAAGTACATATAATTAAAAAAAATAGGAGCTGGAGAGATGGCTCAGCAGTTAAGAACACTGGCTGTGCTTGCAGAGGACCCGGATTTGGCTCCCAGCACCTATGTGCCAGCTAACAAGTATCCATAACTCCAGTTCCAAGGGATTCAACGCCCTCTTCTAGCCTCCGTGGGCAGTGCACTTACATGCATAGAGTTAAGGATGGTTTGTAGCTGCCATGTGGGTGCTAGGAATTGAACCCGGCTCCTCTGCAAGAGCAGTCAGTGCTCTTAAACTGCTAAGCCATCTCTCTAGCCCCCTAAAGCTTTGTTTTTGCAAAGCTTATTTTTTGTCCAATAATGTAAAAAATTTGAGTAGAGGGTAATAGCCTAAGCCATCAGAAGAGCTTCCATGGACACAGTAACTTCCTGACAGGTGGTATTAAACAACAACAACAAAATATTATTTAAAGAATAATACTTGTTGGGCATGGTGGCCCATGCCTTTAATCCCAGAGGCAGAGGCAGGTGGATCTCTGTGAGTTCAAGGCCAGCCTGGTCTACATAGTGACCTCCAGAACAGCTGGGTCTACAGGGAGACCCTGTCTCAAAAAGACCAAAAAAAAAAAAAAAAGAATGAACTTGAGAGTCCTGAATTCTCCACAGCCTTGCAGCCCCTCCAGTATCTGGCCCACCTAGTTCTGGCCTTCTGCAGTTTTACTACCACAGTCACGGACAAGGGTCAGCCCCTTCAGCAAACCACACCCATGCTCAGAGCATTCTCTATGTGACCAGACCATGCCACACTTGGGGCCTCCCTTTCACCAGCTCCCACCTCATCCCTATTCGAATGCTACTTTGATAACTAGTTTCCCCTTCTGCCAGGCTAAAGTTGAGTCCTGTGAACCCAGGGGCTACTTCTTATCCTGTCCATGATGTGTAATACACAGCAAACTGAAGGTGTTCAACAAATGTCTGTCTGTGCAATGACTGACTACATGAACAAAAAGACTTTGGAAGAAAAAGAAAAATTAAACAAAATTATGAAAAAGATAATTCACTGGTTTTCACTCCTTTTTGCCATGAATTCAAGATATTTAAAACAAATTCAGGTTCATGTTTATTTAATTTGAACCGTCATTCTCCTTCTCAACTGATCTGAAATCTCAAAAGACACACAGCAAGCTCTAAAACTGAATGAATCGCTGTACTCTCAGACCACGAGCTTTGAGGGTAATGTAAGTAGAATCTATCTCGGGTTTTCTGGTACAACAAATGCTAATCTACAGGCTGCCCTGATTTCTCCCACTGACATTAGAAACATTACTACTGAAAAGCATCATTAGAGACTGATGAGGAACTTACGCTGCATTCCTGGTGTCTGGCACATCTCTGTGGTAGCCCAAGCGGTTACTAATAAGCATATTAAAGGCATGTTTCTGGTAGCCCAAGTCTCTCAATTCCTGATCCCGTTCATTGAAAATCATTCCTGTAACAGAGTGACATTACAGTCAGTGCCTTTGGTCAGACAGAGATAATCACATCACAATGGGGTAATCACCCCAAAGTCAATATCATCATTGTAACCACATGACAACCAAATCTCTCAAATCTAGCTTGTCTCCAGTTTCATGTTTCAAATGAGTAAGCCAGTTTAATACAAAGCAAGTGTGCCTTTAACCATGAGCAACACCTGCTCAAACCCACATCTTAACATTTTATAGTCATGAGACAAATTCATCTGCCACCATGGGAAAAGTATTGATAATTTTCTGTTAAAAAATAAAATGGGGCTGGAGAGATGGCTCAGCAATTAAGAAACACTGGTTGTTCTTGCAGAAGACCTGGGTTCGAATCCCAGCACCCCCATGGCAGCTAACAACTGTCTGTAACTCTAGTAGCAGGGGATCCAACAGTCTCTTCTGACCTTCACGGGCATTGCACTACATGGGTGCACTTACCTACATGCAGGCAATACACACATACACATAAAATAAAAAATAAAATTAAAAAGTTTAAAAAAATAAAATAAAATCATTCGATTCCAACAGACCTCAACAGGCCCCAATCTTAACAAATTTTTAAATGAATCCATGCCCCACAAAAATCTATAGAAAAGCCTTCCTATAAAAAGGGCTTCCAGTGGGGCTGGAGGGATGGCTCAGTGGTTAAGAGCGCTGGTTGCTCTGGCAGAGGACCCAGGTTCAGTTCTTAGCACCCACATGCTGACTAACAACCATCTGTAACTCCAGTTCCAGGGGACTCAACCCCCTCCTGGCCTTGGGCATTGCATGACACGGATGCACTTACATACACATGGGGAAAACACTCATACACACAAAATAAAAATAATTATTTAAAAAAGAGTTTTGAGAGTCTCTGGTATCAAACTTTAATGAACTTCCTGTCAAGCAGGTCCTGCACAGAGCTAATCAGAACTGTGTACCCTAGCAGGCCCATTCTAATGTTCTGTCAGAAATCTCATCCTTGATAGAAAGCTAACATTTCAGGGCTGGAGAGATGGCTCAGCGGTTAAGAGCACTGACTGCTCTTGCAGAGGACCTGGGTTCGATTCCCAGCACCCACATGGCAACTATAAACCATCCTTAACTCCAGTTCAGAGGAATCCGAAGCCCTCTTCTGACCTCTGCAGCACTGTATAACATGGGTCCACTCACACACATGCAGGCAATACACTCATACGCAAAAAATAAAAATACTGAAAAAAAAAAGAAAGCTAACATCTCCTTCAGTTGTCTGTTTCCTGTATCAGACATTCAGCCTCCACACATAGAACAGCTCCCTCGAGAAGCAGTACTTCCCAGAGTCTATTCACAAAAAACTATTCCCACTGTTCATAGTTTAAAAGAAAAAAAAAATGTCAAGGTCAAAGAAATTAGGAAAATAATTCTAAAATGTTGAAAGTAAGCAGGACAACTGTTCTTGTGGAATGCACAATGTGGAATTTTATTTTTGGATGTGTGGAATATGTACCTGTTCATATGGGTGTGTACTCACATGTCTACACATATGTAAGGCCAGAGGTCAACAGCAGGTTTCTTCTGTCACTCTCTACCTCATTTTTTTTTTTTTTTTTGGTGACAGTCTCTCTCAGTAAACCTAGAGTCCATCAATTCAGGTAGGTTGGCCGGCCAATGAACTCTAGGGATCCACCTGTTTCTCCCTCCGTCCCCAACCCCCAGGAGAGTCAGTACATGCTAGTGATCCAAATTCAGGTCCTTAATGTTTCTCCAGCAGATGCTTTACCCACTGAGCCATCTCCCTAGCCTCAAGATATGGAATGTTTTATCCAGGTGTAAGTAGATGGATCTGGAATTTGGTATTGCTCAGATTTATCGGCTTGTGCACACTATCTCCTGCACCCAGTCATCAGGAATATCACAAACACATCTGCAAAGTTGTCTTGTGATAGAGAACCCCCAAGAAGGCGTTCCATATGGAAAGATAACTTCACCATCTTTTTGTCCTGTCCCTGCCCAAATACAGTAATAGCCAAATCTCAATTAATTAGCATGAGGCGTTACTTCAATTAATCTATAATAAATGACAGATGAAACAAGAAAATGTTTGGTTTGGTTGTTTTTCTGGTTTATGAGGCAGGGTCTCACTGTAGTCCAAGTTAACCCAGAACTAGAACCCCTGCAATCCTTGTACCTCAGTGCCCCCAGTGCTGAAATTACAGGTATGAGCCACAAGGCCCAGCTTTAAATAAGCATCCTTTTTTCTTTCTTTATGGTGCTAGGGACTGAATCCTGGACCTCGTATATGCTAGGCACTGAGGCACACCCCAGCCTACGAGGAAATGCTTACGGCTTTACGTTTACGGTTGAAAATCTAAATTGTACTTATTTTTGTGCGTGCGCTTTGCATGCATGTATGCTAACTGCACCTGTGTTGCGCAATCCCAATGGAGGCCAGAAGAGAGCGTCAGATCGCCTGGAACTGGAGTTCGAGATAGCCCTTATGCACCATGTGGGTGCTGGGAACTGAACATAGGTCCTCTGCAAAAGCAGCCAGTGTTCTTAACTATTACATTAGTCTAATCTCCAGCCTAAATTGTGCTTTTTGGCAGGTTCTTTTTTGTGACTTTTTTTTTTTTTTCGGTAATTTCAGAAAGCAGCATACTTTCAGTTATATTGAATACGATTCCTTTTAAATGAGATTTACTTTATATAGAGAATTTAGAAGTTTTTTTCTCATTTTTTTATTGTGGTAATTATACACATAACTCAGAGGGAGCTGTCACTGACATTTAGCACAGGGACAGTAGTCACAACTATCTAGCTACAGAGCACTTTCACCGCTCCAAAAGAAGTCCTGCCTACTCACTATCTCCCCTCCAACCTAATGTGCTTTCTGTCATGGCCTGCTTGTCTACTCTGGGCATTTCCCACAGGAGTCCAGTGTCTGACATCTTTTAACTTAGCACAAGGTTTTCAAGATTTGTCCTTGTACCATGTATAACTTTCTCTTCACACCAGTACATACTGTTTATCCCTTCAGTTGACGGATTGTTTCCACTTTCTGACTAGTACTGAGAACATTTTGTTGTCGTTTTGTTTTTGTTTTTTTCTGAGACCAGGGTCTCCCTGTAACCCCAGGTGTCCTGGAACTCAGTATATAAACAAGTCTGGCCTTGATCTCACAAAGATCCAACCGCCTCTGCCTCCAAAGTGCTGGGACTAAAGGCAGGCACCACCACACGGCTGACTTCTCTTATTTTAATTTTTATTTACTACTATCATGTGTGAACATATGTAGAGGTAAGAGAACAACTTTTCTTTTTTTTAGTATTTTATTATTTTTATTTTATGTGTATGAGTAGTATTGCCTGCATGTATGTGAGTGCACCCGTGTCATGCAATGCCGTGGATGTCAGAGGGGGCTTCGGATTCCCCTGGACTGGAGTTAAGGACGGTTTGTAGCCACCATGTGAGTGCTGGGAATTGAACCCAGGTCCTCTACAAGAGCAGTCAGTGCTCTTAACTACTGAACCATCTCTCTAGCCCACAACTTTCGTGGAGTCAGTTCTTATACCTTCCTGTGGGTTCAAGAAGTGAGGCTTGCACAGCAAGCATTTTTACCTGCTGAGCCATCCCCTGGACCAAATCTTGATTGACATCTAAACAGTATTTAGTAACTCATTACACTGACCTGGGTGGAATGTAACATCTTAGCAATATTTAGCAACTCATTCCACCAACCTTGGATGTCTTTTCACTTACGGGGGTCTACTTCCATTGTTTTAGTATTATTCTACTCTTCAGTGTATAATAGTTTTGGTTTTGGACTCTAAAACTACCAAATTAATCTATTGCTCTAAGAAGTGTTTTAAGATTCTTTAGCATTTGGCTGGGCATGCACGCCCTTAATCCCAGGTAGTGAATCCCAGTTAGGCCAGCCTGGTCTACATACCAAGTTCCAGGCCAACTGGGGCCATAGGGAGTTTTAAAAAAAAAAAAAAAAAAAAAAAAAAAAAACATTCTTCAGCATTTTCTATAGGGAATTCGTTTTTCAGTTATGTAATCTGGGCTTTTCACTCTGAACTGTACAGTTCTCTATATCTCTCAAAGGCAAATACAATACCCACTGCAAATGGTAAACCCGAGGGGCGTGGTGATGCCTACCTTTATTCCCAGCCCCTGGGAGGCAGAGGCAGGGGATCTCTGTGAGTTCAAGGCTAGCCTGGTCTATAGAGCCAGTTCCAGGCCAGCTGGGGCTACAGGTCTCGAAAAAAACCAAAAAAAAAAAAAAAAAGGTAAACCCAAAGTTACTTTGTAACTTCTGCCAATATAAACATGAGAACTAGAAAATTCCACTAATGCTTTTAAATGTAAAGTGACTGTGTGAAAAAGACCAGAAGGTGTACATTATAGAATTAAAGTAGGTATTATTTTCCTTTCCCCATCTAATTTTGTGACTTCCTTTACTAGAAAAATCATTAAAACAAAACAAAACAAAACTGAAGTGTCTGTTTTAGCATCTCCTTTGCACATTATAATGGCTCTCTCCAGATTTCCAAAATCATTCACTAGGGGCCAGGGATTTAGCTCAGGTCCTCGGCAGAATCATCCACTAGGTTTACTCCTAAGCGACCTATTATGTGATTTTTCTATAACAAAATCAAAGTTATTTTAAGTTTTGGAGCTAACCAAACTGGCTCACCCACTCTTAAAATTTGCTAAACCAAAGATTATGCTTTTCAAATGTAAACAATAGATTCCTATTTCTAAATTGAGCAGAATATAATGGAAGGCTTTTATTTTAAACTAAGATTTTATAAACTAACATATGTTCCAGGGCTTTCTCTTAAATTTAAGAGATCCCAGCTTATTTCTATTCCAATGCTTTATGTTCTGTTTAATTAAATCTGTCTTTCAAAGTAAGTTAAATGGAGACAAGACCTTTCCACCTCCTTCCACAGCCTTTCTTCTCTTCTCCCCGCTCCATGCTTTTTCTTCTCTGACCTTGTTAAGTTTCTCCCAAATCTTCATAAAATACTGAGGTCAGAGTTGGAAAAGCTGGCACAAAACTATCCACTTAATCTGCAAAAATCACAGAACGTCAGCTAGTTCACAAATCACTGAGGAAGGAAACAGGACAGCTCTAGTTCCTGGACAAGGCAAGACTTAAAGACAACAGACTTTGAGGACTTACCCAGCTCAGAGGATTTCAGGTGGCCTTTATCTGGATCTTCAACATGATTATCCATCACATCATCAATTCTGTTTCCTTTGAACTGTGGTTCTAATACTCGATTTGGACCTCGAGTAAAACGGGGGTAGAATTTTTTGGGAAATGGTCCATGGGGCCCAGACCCCTTGATGGGCACATTCCTAAGTGGCTGAGTCACTTCACTGAAGTTGAAATAAACAAAAAGCAGAGCTGTCCAGGTTGCAGATGTAAAAAGGCACCCGTAACAGAAGTACCGAACTGTGACGCTTCCCATTATAGACCTAGCATAGCTGAAGGGCCATTTTCAGTTTCCTAAAAAAGATACAATTGTTAGACACTCCAGAACACTCCTAAAGCATCCACCAAATGCACACTCACGTTTCCCAAACCACCTTACACACCAGTCAACAGAAACATAAACGCAATAAGCCTTAAGAAAGGCAAGCTGATGTACAAATGCTCAGAAAACCAGAGTGAATAGCTGACTTATTTACCAGCTGTGTTAATGGACACTTCTTCACCTTTGCTCCCTCTTTTCAGGCTCTTAACTTTTCATGAATAAAATACGAGTGCTACAGAATCCAACACAGGACAGGACATATACAGTATTCTCCAGTCACACCCATTATCCCTGCAGGTGAGGGGCTGAGGCAGATGATAACCAAATTCAAGGCCAGCCCATGCTATGTTGTGAATTCCAAACTTGGGCTAGGCAGTAAGATTCCGCCCCCAAACAAACAAAAAACTTGAAAAAAATAGTTCTATTTTCTAATCAGAGGCTTTACCTATCCCAGAGCCTATTCTAGATCTAACAGTTGTTTTCAAATAAAGAGTTCAAGTAATGTTTTCCCTCTCCTTATGATATCCTGTTAAAATAAGGTTAGAAGAAAACAGAGTGGCCAAACAGCCATCTTTCCTGAGTCTCTTATCTATTCTTCCTGGGAGCTCACACTTCCTGAAGAGCACTAAAAAACCTGAGGCACAAGGAAATGCTACCCAAGAAATACACACATGGGGAGTTTGCACAGAGACGCCAGATGCAAACAGATTACTTCTTTGTACAGTAAATTTTTAAAAATATCCCTAAAAGGCCAAGACAAAGCAAATTAATCTGTAATCCTCATTTTAAACATTAAGCTTCTTGAACAAGATTATGCCTTAAGCCTAGAAGAGGGTAAACAGCTGTCTGTTGGCAATTATTTGCCAACCAAGAAGTACTGGCTATTTCACTACAAGTCAAGTTCAAAACAAAATTAATTTAAAAAAAAGCAGTAACAGCAGTAAGGGAGGATAGCTGAAAATGACCACAGTGCAAAGGGCTTAGGGCCCAACCGTTGCTGCCCTGTCAGCTGGCAGTATTTGGGAGTGGGAGGAAGTAGAGAGGTTTTTTGTTTGTTTTAATTATTTTTATTTTATGTGTATGCATGTATTGCCTGCATGTAAGTAAGTGCACCCGTGTTGTACAATGCCCACAGAGGACAGAAGATCTGTCGGATCCCCTGGAACTGGAGTTACAGACAGCTGTTAGCTGCCATGTGGGTGCTGGGATTCAAACCCACGTCTTCTGCAAGAACAGCCAGTGTTCTTAACCGCTGAGCCATCTCTCCAGCCCCAAGAGGTTGGTTTTTTGAGACAGGGTGTCCCTGTAGCCCCAGCTGGCCTGGAACTTGGTATGTAGACCAACCTGGGATTAAAGGTGTGTACACCACCACACACCCTGCTTACTGACAGTACTTTTTAAACTAAATACACAGAAAAATGCAGGAAAAGATTTCAGAACAAAGGTTCAGAAGCCTTTATCAGGAAAAACAAGTTACAAATTTGCAATAATAACACAAAAAGTGACCTTTAGACAAACACTGAGTTCCAACAGGGAACATTCTAATTCCTAAAATCTTGGCTCAGAAGTAGGTAATCATCAAGTAAATGATATTAACAGCAGAGGTATAGCTTGTTCAAAAGGCAATGAGATGCTAAGGCTCCAGCCTAACCAGTGAGGACTGGTGTGCCTTGCCAACTACAGAGCAAGATGAAGTTTACCCAGCCACTCCAGGCCTTCCCACTTTCACTGTGTAGTCCTGGCTCTCAACATGGAAAGGAGCCATCCAAAGTAGACACGAAGAACAGCAGCCAACTCTTTACAGTCCCAGGGCAGGAGGACTATTCCAGCCAGCCGCTCTGTACTACAGATACACTCTGACATTTGCTTCCTTTAATCTAATTCTCACCATGTTGGCTAACTCCAGAACCCTTCAAAACCAAACCTCAGCTGCCTGGGGAGATAGCCAGGTGGGTAAAGTGAGGGTCTTTCTTCAGTCCTCAGAATCTAAAACTCCAGGTGTGGCAGTGTGCTCTCATAACCCTAGCACTAGGGAGGCAGTGACAGATGGGTCCTTGGGGCTTGCGGGCCAGCCAGTCTAGCAACCTGGGCAAGCTCTAGGCCAAGAGACTTGAGAAAACACCTGGAAGCTTTTCTCTACGAGCTTAACATTTGAAAGAACCACAGATCATCCAGATCTCTTGAACTTCCAGAGCTGTACAGTGCATTTCTGCTGTCCAGGGAACCCTGTCCAGAGACACATAATTACCCTTTCAATCATAAATTAAAACCTCCAGGGCTGGAAGATAGTTGAGTCAGGAAAATGCTTACTGTGCAAGCATGAGCTCTGAGCTTGATCCCTAGCACGCAGGTAAAGTCAGGCAGGCATTTTTAATCCCAAGGCTGGGGAGATGAAGGTGGAGCCCTGGGGCTTGCTGGCCTGTTGGCCTCACATATTTGGTGAATCCCAGGTCCCAATGAAAGACCCTGTCTCAAAACACAAGTGGACAGCTCCTGAGGAACAACACCCAAGGTTGACCTCCGGCCTCCACACACAGAATGTGCACCTGCATGCATGTAAATATGTATATATACCCCCCCACACAAATTGATTAATTAACTGATTTAAATCTCTAGTTACTAAGAATAGTCTTGAACTGTCTCAGCTCAACTAACTTAAGGACCCAGGCACACTGGTTCCAGTTCTTAGCAGCCTCCATCTTGTTAATCTTAAGTCTCTGTTCCTAGAAACTGTAAATTTCCTTTGCCCCATACTTCTGGGCTAAGATTAGGCAAGCCGGGATATGCCTTGCTTATCTGAGTCTAACAGAAACCACCTGAAATTCCTGACCATAAAAGGGCATCCAGAGGCCAATAGGGGCACCCTAGTAAAAGGAAAAATTGAGACATTCCAGGCGGCTATAACCAATGAAATCCACCCCCATACAAGGTATTCAGAGTTATCCAATCAATTCAAAGGTCACCCAGTTTGTGCAGGCTCCTGGAGTCTGTGCCCTACTGGTCGTTCAAGAATTGGAATGCTTTTCAATAAAATCTTCTAAATTTAGAATTTTGGTGGGTGGTCTCCAATCATTCCCGAACCTCAGACCCAACAGTCTTTCTTTCCTTAAAATCATTTTTTGGGGAATGATGTTCTTTTTGCTACTTTACAATGTTTATTTTTATTTATGTGTATGTTGCTCGTCTGTATGTGTATCATGTGCATGCAGTGCCCACAGAGGCCAGAAGAGGGTTTCAGATCCTCTGGAACTGGAGTTACAGACAGCTGTGAACCATGCAACATGGGTGTGGGGAACAAACCCAGGTCCTCTGCAAGTGCGACAAGTGCGTTTAACTGCTGAGCCATTCCCTTTCCCCAACTATAATCTTGTTTCCCCAGCAGCATCTACTCCTATTTTTCAATCTTGTTAGGCAAAGTCAACATACTCAGCCCTTCCATTTTTACAATTTGGCATTCTATTGGGGTACAGCCATGCATCCTTAATGGCTTTACTTCTTTTCCTGTCTGGTTGGATAATAGCAAGTGCCTAGCCAGTGCTTAGTGCAGAAGAGTGAGGGAAACAGATCAGGGTATAGGAAATATTAGGCAGGTGGAAAGGAAGGCCTCATTGAGAACTAGATATGAGAGTCAAGACCCCAAGAACATAAGCAATGGGAACTACAAGCTATGAGGAAGAATTGTCAAGGGCCTCAACAAGTACGCCCATGGACAGAGACTGCACCCTGATAGACCAAAAAGTGTATCAGCCACACCTTACATCCTGCCTAGTACCCCGCCTAAACAGCTAAACTCCTATCTTAGAGCAGCCCCAAGGTAGTGTGGGACAACAAGGACTAGCTTCCTAAATTCCAACCTTATTGTCCTGTTCAGGACCCTTACTAACCTGCTAAACTCAAAGACCTCTACCCTCTAAACCCAGAAGCCCTCCCCTCTATAAAAATAAGGAATTTCTTCTCCTGTGTTCTGGTTGCTGTTGGATCTCCTATCCCAGCTTTCCCCACTGTGAGCAGCCACCATTATTGAAGGACCTGATCACTGAAATGTGGTTCAGTAGGTTCCCCTACAGAACCTGGAAAAAATCTTTATTATTTAAAACAAACCCTACCAACCACGTGCTCTAATGGAGATAACTAAGCTAAACTCAACTACTGGAAAGGAACTAGAAAAATCAGAAAGTAGGTAAGTGGATATATAAAACTCCCAAGTAGACTGGGCATGGTGGCACACGCCTTCAGTCCCAGCACTCAGGAGGATCATCACTGTGAGTTCAAGGCCAGCCTGGTCTACATAGTGAGTTCAGGTCAAATGGGACTATAGGGAGACCCTGTCTCAAAAAGACAAAAAAACACAAACAACAAAAAAACCATTTTGAAGAAAAAATGATATTCAAAATTCAAAACTACAATTTCAAAATTCCTAGGCTATAAGTCAAAGCCAAACTTATAGCCTTGGACACTTATAGAAAACAGGACTGTAAACTATGAATTAAGAAAATATAACTGTGCTAGGGTTGTTGTTCAGTGGTAGACAGACTGCTTGCCTAGCATGCATGAAACCCTGGGTTCAATTACCAGAACCAAAAAAAAGTCTACCTAGCCAGACATGGCGCATGGAGATACATGCCTGTAATCACAGGATTCCTGAAGCATAGGAAGCAGAATCACAAGTTCAAAGCAGCCTGGTCTACATACCAAAGTCTAAGCCAGATAGGGCTCTGTAGTAAGGCCCTGTCTCTAAAATCCAAAATTAATTAATTATAAGAAAACTATAACTCAAAGTAAAAGGAGAACAACATAGGAATTAATAGAAAGTGAGTATACACATTTCTAACACAACAAAAGCCTGAAGAGGACTTGAACTGGGCGTGGTGGTACACACCTTTGATCCCAGCACTTGGGAGGCAGAGGCAGGCAGATCTTTGTGAGTTCGAAGCCAGCCTGGTCTACATAGTGAGTTCCAGGCCAGCTGGGG